GGTACCGGGGATTAAACTCTGGGACCTTGTGCTTGCAAGGCAGGTGGCGGAACCACTGAGCTAAATCCCCGGCCCTGGCACTGTTCTTCTACAGGGAAAAATCTGCTGTGTGGGAAGGAGTCTGAGTATGCATGTACCTGACTCCACCTGTCCCACAGCACCCTTACATGATGGGGGGGGGGGTTCCTCACTTTAAAAGTAGACCACAGAGGGGTCACAAGGCTCCTCTTGCCCTCCATCAGTGACCACAGGGCTCTCCAAAGAGCAATGAGCTGAAGGAAACCCATCCTATAACATCTGCTTTTGCTCCTCACAGACCCTGCCTGTTTTCTATTCTTAACTATTTCCAAATATGTGCCTGCAGTCTCCTCCCCCAAAGGCGGTGGATACTGAGGAGCATTAGATACACAATTGCCTCCTTGCCGAGTCAATGTAACATGTGAAATGACAAAAAGTTCTGAAGAGGCGCCTTCCCATGTATTTACGCTTTTGGAACTCTAGGTGTAAGCAGCAGCAATTCTAACAGTGGCCAACACCTACTGAGCCTGCCCTGGGCTAAGCACATTACAGCTATAAGGAATTCAACAGAAACAGCCCCATTTTACACTTTAGCAAACAGAAACAAGGAAGCATCTTAAGGGAACAGAGCCAGGAAGAGGCAGGTTCGGGTTGGAACCCACGTGTACTGGACCTGAGGCCAAGCTTCCCACTGCTTGTCACTCTGCTTTAAGCCTCCCACTTATCTATAGGACAGACCTCGGGCCCTGAGACCGTGAACTAGTTTTGTTTGACGTAGAAACTGTTTTTAGCTTTGTCAAGACGCATTATGGCAGTAGGTAACCACGTGCCATGTGGTTACAGTGGGAGAGGACAGACCTGGGGTTAAGGAAATCTGTACTGAAATTCTGGCTCTGCATCTTCTCAGCGTTTTCTTCCATCACACAGGGGTATGGACAGCTACCGATCAAGCCTGAAAACCCAGCACAGAGCAGGCACTCCAGAGGTGGCTACTGATGCTCCTCACCATCTGTTGCTGTTACTCAGCCCCAGCTTTGCCTGAGAGACAGCCCATGTACCACCGCAAGTTAGTGGATGCACGCTAGAGCCTGCTGGTGCCAGGTACTTCTGCTGCTTGGCCCTGCCATCAGAGCACAGCTCTGAAGTGTGTGCAATGAGCTCTGACTGACCTAGCAAAACCAAGTTAGGTATATTTGTGACAAAAAGCATTCATTCCAAGGTGATGATCTTTAGTGGGAAGACACTGCCACATGATTTCTCTACCTTCCGTAGAAAGCAGGACTCAAAACATACAAACCACAATTATAAAACAAGCAAGGAAAAGCCCAAAAACCAGCCTGCAAGAGAACTCAACAGGGAACCACCTCTCTCCCAGTAGGAACCCCATCTCCCTACACAGGAGACCCTGCCATGCCCTCTCCCCTGGCCGACAGCTGAGGCTGCTGAGGTGGGTTCTGTCCTAGGCACCACAGCACCTGGCCTCAGCAGGGGTCCAGCGCCTCCAGGAACTGCCCTTCCCTCCCCTCCAAGTTTCTCCTCCAACAACGGCTCCAGCTCCGGCTCCCGCTCCGGTCCCCTAACACCAGTGTCCTACAACATTCTGCTCTGGCTCAATCTCCTCCTACCCATTCACGTACTTCACTTACTGCACCCCCTAGTTCCAACTGTTTGGCTGAATTCTGGGTCTCACATCTCCGTGGCTCTCTGGAACTTCCCACGGAGAGGATGATTTATCTATCTAACTGGTGCTCAGCATTGTGCCAATTCCCCAAACCTGCTTGTTTCCTGGTGCCTACGTGGGCTTTCACATGGTACCTGGTTTGATTTTTATCACAGCAGCCACTGAAAACTTGGCTCTGTGAAGATATGGTACTGGTGGAAGACACGCACCAGAGTTGTTGAAACTAGGAACTGCACCCAGCTAGCAGTTCACAAGGTAGCTGACAGGCGTCAAGATGGCTGTTTCCCTGGAAACTTTACCACATCCGAGTGCCTGAGGAGCTGACATGGCACCCAGCAGCCCTGAGCACTTCTATACTTTACCTCACCTGACCCTAGCAGCCCTCAGAGGGAAGCCTGCTACTATTCTTGAGCTCAGAATTGGACGGACACGTCACAGATCCTGTTTAGCGACACAACCCAGGGCTTGGACCAAGAGGTGGGGCTCCACAGCCCACACTTTCAACTGCTTAGCTGCTCCTGCTGTGTATACCTCTAAATTATCATCTTCTCCACAGCTGGCTGTTCTTCTCCCTCATCTTTTTTTCCTAACAGTTTTGCTCCTACAATCTAAGGTTGAAGGGCCTTCCAAGGCCTTCAGCATTTCCAGTCTCTGCTCATAGGGGCCTGAGGGAACATTCAGCCTGAGGCTTTTCTCTCTCCGCAGCCCTGTCCCTGACTCTTGGACAGGTCTTCATACTGCAAAGCCCATGAAAAGATACTTATTCAGGGCTTCATACGGAATTTTTATGCCCAGGTCAGGTTTAAAAAACATGGTAATTACACTAAAAATATTTGTTTGATAAACAAATTATTGGGCTTAGATTAAGACTATTTCAGATTTTTGGATAGCCACAAGCATTAATTTATATTAAGGTTTTCACAATAAACTAAAAGTCCTGGCAATATCGCCACAGGGAGTGAGAGACTCCTGACCTTGAGGAGATTGCTCTCTCCTGGTGTTCAGGGGCATCTTCTGAATTTACTGAAGTTTCTAGTTCCCCATGTCCTGCTAACTTTTCCCTCAGACTCTCCCTGGGATCCGCCTCTCCACTTCTGTTCTCAGGTTCTTACTGCTGACCTTTTGGGCCACCATGATCTCCTGCAGGGTCGGTCACAAGTCTAACCCACCTTGTACAGCTCTGTCATTTTATTTATTTTTTTTTTTTCAGTACTGGGGATGGAACTCAGGACCTTGTGTTTGCAAGGCAGGCGCAGTGCCACTGAGCTAAATCCCCGGCCCCTCCATCATTTTAAGTTATCTTTTGTATCAGATCCAAACTTCGCTCATAAACCACAAAGTACCCACTGCCAAGGGCATTCAAGATTCTCTACAATCTGTTCCCAACTTATCTTTCCAATATTATGTTTTCATCCTTTGGTTCATTCATTCTACATAAATTTACACAACGGTCACCAAGGACTCTGAGGAGTTGAGAGCACATTAAAGTGACCTACACAGTCCCTCCCGTTGAGGTTTCAGACAGGGGTAATGGTGTGTGCAGAAGACAGCTCCAATACAAGGAAGAAATGTGCCTCAGGAAAGGCAGCAGGGCTCGGGGAAGATTAGAAGCCACACTGAGAAGGGGCTGGGGTATCAGGGGAGGGGGTGTCAGATCAGGTCTGGAAGGCACAACTTCGGCGTGTGAGCACAAACAGAGACACTCAATTTTCCATCCTAGCTCCAACTGTTCTACTGAGTTCTGGGTCTTCTATGTGCAAAAGAACAGCAGCAAGACTTCAAGAAAGCAGCTTGATGCCCACTGGGCACAGAGAGCAGACTGACGCAAGGTCAAGCAGAAATGGCAGGGTGGGGCTGAACCAGGCCATCATGAATGTGTGGCCGGGACCCGGGCCCTCGTGTCTGTTCACTCACCCAGTAAGTAGGGAGATCTACCAGAGAGCTGGACACAAGGCCGGAGCTGTGACCTTTCTGTGCTCTTCTCTGCCTCCACTTGGCTCAGAAGGCCTTGTCTCCACTTCTCGCTCCCTGAGGAGCCCGCACACATCCACGGCTCCCTCCCCACATTACCAGACACCTGTGTGGGGGGATGGCACAGGCCTGCAATCCCAGCACTCTGGGAGGTGGAGGCAGGAAGATCTTGCAAGCTCAAGCCCAGTCTGGAATCCATCCCCAGTACCTACCCCCACCTGTCCTCCCCAGGTACTCTGTACAGGGGAAAATTAACGTGCACCTCACAGACAGAAATTATATCCCCATTGCCAAATTCTTAATATACCTGGTTATCCCCTTCTTAGCTTTTCTTCAGATTTTACTGGATATTTCATTTTTCAAAAATATAAACAAAGGAAGGGAATGGTTGTTTTCAGGTGGGAAAACTCATTGTTTTCTTTCTACTGTTTTGCGTTTACAGGTTTCTTTTTTGGGGGGTACTGGGGATCGAACTCAGGACCTTGCACTTGTGAGTCAGGCAAGGCACCACTGAGCTAAACCCAGGCCCTTACAGATTTCTTTTTATTTTTTTTTGCACATTTGGTAATTTATCTTAGAATAAGATTTCCTTGCTTTTTTATACATTACGAATTTATAAATTTCTATAAAAGTAAGCTACTACTTTGATAACAGGGACAAAACGTCTATCAGTGTTTTTAAAGAGGGAATCTTTAATGACACAGCCATCAGACCCTGAAATAAAACTGTTAGAAACCTCAGTTGTGCGGAAAAAAATCAGAGCCAGTTGACTTTCCTTAATCCCACCTCCAGGGGACAGTGGGCCTCCAAAGCCAGAGCTCTGTCCTGTTCATTTCTGTCCCTCCGGGCAGCACCTAGAGCAGCAGGCGCTCAGGTGCTGGAAGAACATGTCTGGCACCAAGACAACCCCTAGTGGCCGACACCAGCCCTCGGGAAGCTGTTGGCCTCTTCTGAGGCCCCGACGGGTCAGAACGCTACTGATTCTGAAGACCTGTTTTTCCAAAATGAATTCCTAAGACATCTTTGCACACCTTTCAACTGCCCTGGCAGACAGCACTGCTGAGGGAAGAAACGGATCGGTTCCTTCTGTGAATTCTAAGAACCAGCCACAGAAGCTTTTTCCTCAGCTTATGACTGGCACAGTGGGGAATCACTGTTGAAAGAGCCGTAAATAACTGAGGCTGCTCTTATTTCTGACCACAAAGTAGTGGCCACGGGCAGCGCTTCCTCATTCCAGCAGGTCCCAGCCCTGAGAGCCCCTGTGTGCCCCCGACTCAGGAAGACCACTTTCATCTCTTAGCAACCTCACCCCCTTCAAAAAACATTTTACCTTTTCTCCCCTCTCTCTCTCTCTGTCCTTCTCCTCTTTTCTCTTCTTCTTCTCTCCATGCCCATCTGTCTGGAGGCTGAGAGGTGGAGGGGCAGAAGCAGCAGCAGCCCCAGGGTAGGGCATGCTGGGAGGGGGACCCGGCGTCACCGTGATGTCTCCCACAGCAGCAGCAGGCAGCCCCGAGCTTCTCCTGGACTTGGAGTGCCTCTTCTCTTTATGCTTCTCCTTGTCTTTCTTTTTCTTGCTCTTCTTTGACTTCTTTTTCTTCTTGATTTCCCGGTAAGAATCGTCTATCACCAACTCGCCTGCCTCCAGCTCCCCACCGGAGGATGAGTCTGACTCCACTAGAATTGGTTCGAGCCCTGAAAGGTCAAGGTTATCCCCCTGGGGTTCTGGGAAGCGGGCAGCATCTGACCTGTCACAGCCTTCAGGGCCAGGAGAGGAGCACGGGTCTGAGGATGACTTGTGCTTCTTCCGGGCCGTTTTCAGAAAGCTCTGTAACTCACGTCCTAGGAGGAAAGCACCGTGCTCATCCCGAGCCGACTTCCTAGAAGACTTTTTCACAGCGGCTTGTTGAGAAGGGTACTGGAGAGAATCCTCCTCGACGGGGCTGCTGCCCTTCTCCTTTGGTGCCAGAATCAGTTTCATCTTCAAGCCATCAGGCTCACGCAGGGTCAGGGTCTCCGTGTTCGCGTAGAGTGGCTTCATTCTCTTGGATGTGTGGGAGCTGCCATCCTCCAGAGGGAGCTCCCCGCTGCCTTTCCTCCTGTGGTGCTCCCGCCTACTCTCCGAGTGGCTCGAGTGGCCCCCGTGTCCGGAGGAGCCAGAGGACTTCTCCCCTGCCTTTCTGGGGGGATGGGCACCTGCTGCCAGTGGGGAAGTGATCGCTTTCAACAGGTCCATAGCTGTGTCGGCAGCCTGCGAGCTGGACCTTTTCTTTTTCTTTTGTGCCGATTCCAGAGAAGAAATATCTAGAAATAATCAAGAGAAGGGCTTGTCAGGAAGACAGGAGCAGTTTCTCCCAAGTGTCCCTCCTCACCAGAGACACCCAGCTAATTCGAGGAAGAGGCCGACAAGTGATCGAGGGAGCCCCTTCGGTTCCTGACGCTTGGCGGTGGTGCCCATGTGCTGCCTGCTTTGGCAAATTCTGCCTTAGCCCCTGGAGACCGCTCTTGCCACTAAAGTCGTCTCTCTTCACTGATTCTTCACAAGCAACCAGAGAGCACCCAGAAGAGCAGGCCACAGCTGTGGGTCAGGGGGGTTATGGATTAGAGCAGGTCGCGGATGGGCCTCATCGCGGACAGACTCATCCCGTACAAGGGTACTCTCAGCAGTGCAGGCCAGCACAGTAAGAACACTGGCTCTGCGAGGGGCTGTGCCCTGAGAAACAGCCCAGATGCAGGCTGCAGGGCCCAGGACTACACTGGCAAAGGGACGCTGGAGAGCAATGGCACAGAGAAGTGGATGATTGGGGGGAGAAGGAACCTGGTACCTGTGTATCACAAATGAAGACTGTTCTTCTATGCTGAAGCCTCCACAATACCAGCCCTCCACCTCTCCTCCTTCACACTGGTTTATCGGCACTCAGAACAAGAACCACTGTCCTGTTAAATAGGCCACTGAGTCAGCAACATCTGGATCCCTTTCCCCTACCCCGACTCCAAGAACCAGCGATGCGTTCGTCCCACCTACTGGCCTCCCCAGCCTTACCTCCATAGTGGGAGTCATCAGGGGAGCGCTTCCTCTTCTTCCTGTGCACGTCCGTCCCCAAGAAGCACAGCTCAGTATCCTGCAACTGCAGAGGACAAGGACGGACAATGAGAGGACAGTCTGGGTAGGAATGCTGCTCAGCCTGGCCCTGGGTTCCAGCTCCAGTACAAGAAAAGGGAAGAAATAGGATAGGGGGAAAAAAAAAAGAAGTACGATAAGGCAAATGCAGTTTAGAACCATTGTGGTGCTTGGATGGTTTCTGACTTTGAAAAACAAAGTTAAGCACAGGAAATGATAAATGTGGCTGTGAGCACCATTTATTTCCTTTTTTTAATTTCTTTTTTTTTTTTTTGGTACCGGAGATAGAACTCGGAACCTTGTGCTTGCGAGGCAGGTGGCAGAACCACTGAGCTACATCCCCGGGCCCTTTTTTAAAATTTCTAGACACTTCTACCTTCACATTTTGGAAATATGGTAAGTTTAAAACTTTCCTAATTCAAATGTTTAGAACTTACCTTCAACTTCTTCTTGGAAGAATTCCTGACCTGAGCAGCGATCTCTTCCTCTTCCCTTAAGAAATCTTTGTAAGAGCGCCTCTTTTCTCGTTGGCTTCGGCCAGCTGCAAGTCCTAGATCCTCGAAGCCGTGATCACCATCAAAGCAATCTGAGGAACACAAGTTCATTTGGGAAAGGAAATGAGAAAGGTAAGCGGCAACCAAGAGCCCCCGTATTTCCAGATTAAAATGATCTTTCACTCAGTCCACTGAGACACTGGGCTAGATCCAGAGGGACCAGAGTACTTCTTGACGACCTGGCTGCAAACAGAAGAGTCAAACCTGCAGAACCATGCTTCCGTGCTATGAAAGGCCCAGTGTGCATCCTCAGACATGGCTCTCAGTTGTGCTCTGGTGGGTGGACACAGACTCGCAGAGTTTTGTAAAGCAGAAAAGAGCAAGGATTCCTGCGCTGCGCTCGCTGCTCTGTGGCACAGAGTCCACACGTGGCTCCTACCCCAGCCTCCTGCACAGGGAGCTGGCAAGGGTGAGTGCTGCAGGGGTTTGCCCTGAGACACTGAGAGGCTCCTGCTGGAACCCTGTCCTGGTTTTCGTTTCCACAGGCCCAGCGTGGGATGATGTGGAGGCTGAGCATCAGCACAGTGCCCTGGACTGGCACGTGGAGTCCAGGCTGTCGTGCCCAGTGCTGGTCTCATTCCACGGCGGCAAGGCCTGAGGAGGACACCCGCTTTGAAAGGCTTCTCAGGTTAAGGGTCATACCTTCTTTCTTCTCGGAGTCGTCATGAGCCATGGCGGTGCTGCAGGGCCTTTGAGCATGTGTCACTGTCCAGGCTCCTTCCGTCTACAGGACCAGGTCTGAGAAACAAAGAAGGAAAACCCTCCTGTAATGTGAAATCACGTGGAGGCAACCTTCCAGAAGAAAGTGTGCAGCGATCCAGGGGCTGACCGGAAGGGCAGCAGGAAATAATGGGTGTCTTGTTGCCTCCTGTTTGTAAACATACTGAGATTCAAACTGTAGGAAGTATGCTACACTTAATTAGATATGACTCACAAATTATGGTTGTCATTTGGTGATGCACAGAACTTTCTTCCAAAATGAGAAATGCCAATAGGACTGACAGCACAGAGACAAGGTAAAGCTGACATAAAACCAGAGGGTCAGGTTCAGCTGTGGTGACAGGACGCAGATAGAGGAAGACAGACTACAGTGGACACCGATGACCACAAAGCCCTGCCCATGGGTCGGGACCGGTCGGCCAGGAAACCAGTTGTATTACAACTTAGGAACAAGGATAGTGGAGGAGTATTAAAGAACTTTTTTTTTGTTGGGCAGTATGATAAAAGTAGGAAAGCTTCTTAGAGCTGCTGGCCATGTGACAGCTTTCAACACTCACAAGCCTTTCTTAAAGGCCACTCGTCCACTGGTGATGAAATGTGTATGACTTTAAGATCTTCACTACTTAGAATTACTGTAATTTAAATGCTGTAAATATTGTATTAAATTCTGAAGTTTCTTTTGTGGTGTTCAAGTTTAGATGTTCATCCTGACTCTGAAGAGGACAATCTTATACACCACATGGTATAGTAAAGTTCTTTAAATATTCTAAGGATAAGCAGCAAACCCTGAAGGAAGTCTCTGCAGGAAATTTAAATTATACATTAAATATCCTGAAAATGTGTTCACCAGCTAGCTAAAGGCTTAAAAAGTTGATCTGACTGGTCATTTACTTAACTTTTATTTTATCTTCAGCATTGTAAGTTGAATGTAGCAATACCAAAGGACACTTCAATGACACATTACTAATACCTTCAGGGAGGTGAGGGTAATACTGAAGTACTGTGTGTAATTTTTGTGAGAGGAAAGATGAATTCAGTTAACAAAGGCAACGCTTCATAGTAACCATTAAAAAACCAGAAAGCCTTATTTGAGGTCAGATAAAATACAATGCACAAGTAGGTCTAAGCTGAAAACAGAAAAGAAAAAAAAGAAGTGTTACCAAGAATGATCATAGAAAATACACCAAAAAGCTTTTCTCCCTTCCCTCAAAGGTGAAATGAAGAATAGACTTTTGCTCAAGGTTAGGGAAGCCAGTGTGAAGTTAAAACTAAATTAAGTGGATCATTTTAAAGACAAACTGGAAAAGGGTCTTTTCATGGGAAACGGAGGGGACCTAAGGTCAGGCCTCATGTAAAACTGCAGAGATAAGACACACAGTGTGGCTGGTTTTCCATGTTCCGTACTTAAATACTGAACTTTCTCAAATGGGGACCACTGTCCTCCCTTCCCACCCAAGGGGCGCCGTCTCCAAAAAGCACAGAGGCGGTCATGGGGAATCACAGCTACTCATGGGGGCACTGAAATACTGAGTTTATTAGAAAAATATACAGATCATATTAGTTTTCACATGCTGATAATGCCAAGAACTGTTATAGCTTGAGACTCCAGCTAAATGCTTTTCACGTCAAATGAATCTTGGCAAAGAATGAGAAATAATGGCAAAACCTTATTCAAAAATCCTTATTCAGTGCCATAAAGATAGCTATTAATCTATGGTCAACAACAAAATGCACTTTAAAAATGTAAGCAAAGGCAGGTCCAGGACTTATGAGCAGGCCCTCCCCTGGTGACATCAACACCAACAATGGGAGCTGAGCAACCTATTAAGAGGAGCTACGCACCTCCACAGCATCTTACAATGATGGTGCCCTGCCGAGCACAAAAGGCGCACTGGCTGGTAGCCGACAGCCTGAAAAACTAGCAGACCTAAAAAGCTATGAAAAGGAGAAAATTCGGGTCTGTGCCTCAGGGGTAAGCCAACACTGAAAGCGTCCTAGTGCTGGCTTTATGCATTAGGATTACCCACTGCTGTTCAAATCTCACCACAGTGAAGAGCATTTTACAGATTACAGGATAAATACCACAGGAGAAAAAGAGCAGGGCCTCAACACAAGTCCAACTCACTGAAAAACTGGGGCAGCCGAGACTGGAAGCCCCCAGGGACCGTATCACTCACAGCCCAGGCAGACTGAGGGGACCTCAATTTCCAGGTTCTTTAAAATCAGGGCATGACTGAAGCTCAGTGGTTAACTGTGACTCATAAGAAAGATGAGACCAGATAAAGAAGCCTCAAGCCGACAGTGTGAAAGGGAGGCAGAGTTCAGGCAGCGTTTGTACAAGAGGAACCCTGATCTTCCTTCTAGCTCCTGAATATTACCCATGGTAGCAGATTGTGAGGGTTAATGACATGAAAAATTAGGTTCGATCTTCATGTTAGAAAACATAATTACAGCAAATGTAAGAGGTGTTAAAACCCATTCTCCTTAATTCTGTAATTTTGGAGTTTACAAAATTCAATGTTGTGAACTCCAGGAAGCAGGCATAATTTTATGATTGTGTTTGTCTCGGTGTGCTAAGTGACAACATATATAAAAGTTCATTATTAAATAGTTTAGGGAGAAAGCACACCATTATAAAAATATATACTCGGGAAATGCGTGAATTATCAGTTGGCTCTTCTGGGACTTTTCTTCAGGATTTGAAAAAGGGGAGGCAGAGGTGGTCATCCAGTTGGGGATCAAAATATTATTACGTTCAGGCATCAACTTTCAGGATGACCAAAATTTTCATGGAAAAAGTGAAAATCATCAGATGTTTGGCTGTTTTGAAAATTCAAAAAGTAAAATACTAAACATGTAGCAGAAGGTGTATTTTTTTTGAGGTACTCCACACCAGGCATGTATGTATCATCATCTTGGGATATGAAAATTGAAAAAGAGGAAACAAAAATAAGACCCTTCAATGGGCAGGAAGTGAAATTAGTGCAAGATTCAGGCTCAGTCCAAGCCAGTTTTCCTTTTCTTCCAACACTCCGTTCAGGGACGCAAGCTGTCAGAGCAGTAAACGAAGGCGTACATCTCAATACTTTGTTGCTGCTTCTAGACAGGCACAATGGGGTCTTCTCATCTTCATCCACATTCCTGTGGAAGGACCAGCACCAGGATACAGATCTTCATGCAGAGCCCTGGCCCCTGTGCAGACTGCCGACGAGACACACTGTGATGCATGGTGTGCAATCAACAGGCTTCCTGTGGGATTCAGGCTTTGCTATTCTGCTGGGAGGGAATATAGCCAGCCGCGAGCTCGGCCGTCAGAGACGGAGCCGGAGCCGTAGGTTTCTTCGCTTGTGTGGCGTAGATAAAATCGAGTGAATCTACAAGTAGCAGCCGTGAAGGACACCAGTCCTGTGTGGAGGAGGCTCCCGCAGAAAAGCGGGCTCAGTGGGGCGCAGGGAACGCGCGACACCAGGCTATGGGTGCCAGCGCCGCGGGATGCGGTCTCGGGGTCCCCACGGCAGACAAAGGGGTTCGCGTGGCGACGCTAAGGCACCAGATCGTACACAAGGCTAGCAACGAGGAAGGAGGAGCAGCGCCGACCGCAATCCGGGGCCGGGTCCCCGCGCCCCGCCCCAGCCCCGCGCCCTGGACCCCGACCCGCTCAGCCCCTCCCTGGTCCCCGCGTCCGTCTCCGTGTCCCGGCCCCCGCCCCGGCCTCGCATCCGCGCCCCCCCGAGGGCGGGGCGATCCCCGGACCCGGGTCTGCTCCCCGCTGCCTTCCCGCCTTCCCGGTTTGAACGCTGTCCGCCCCGGCCCCGGCCCGGCCCGGCCCCGTCCCCGCCGGCGCCGCCGCCACGCCAGCCCTCGGCTCGGGCCCAAGCAGGCCAGCTGGCCTCGGGCGCCCCGGGCGGTGCTGCGGCCCCGGGGGGAGGGGGGAGGGGGGCGGTGCCGTCGGGGTCGGACCGGGCCGCTACCTTCACTCGGCTGGCTCGGGTCCCGCCGCGCCGCCGCTGCCCGCCGCCATCTTGGAAAGGGAGCGCGCGCCGCTGGACGCCCAGTCGAGCACCGAGCGCCGCCAGCGAGTGAGCGACGAGAGAGCACCGAGCGCATCGAGCTCTGCAGTGGCGAGCTCTGGCGAGCCTGCGCTGCACTGACCTCGCGAAGCTGGAAGCTTGGACGACTCAGCGAGGTCGGGTTGTCGCATCTGGCAGGGGAAGGCTCCAGAGGCGGACTTGCTCAGCAGGGCACAGGTAGCTGGAGGAGAGGTAGCACACTGCTCCAGTGTTCTGATTCATAACGCCTGCTTTCCCCACGCCAATGCGATTCTGTCACTGCGCGCAGCGCCTCTCCTGTGTGAGACTCAGAGCCGCGCAGACCCACAGCCGTCCGTGGTGCTTGTTTGTAATTCAGCATTTTTATTTAGGCGTTTGGCCTGTGGGGCGAGAGAAAGCATGTGTTTGCAACTGAAAAATAATTTGCACACCCGATCAGCCACATCTGTCCCTCGTAAACGATTTTCATTTACAGGTTAACGACAGTCTCCAGAGACGTGGTCTCCCACACGCAGAAGGGAGTGGATGAGCAGAAAGCTCTCTCTTGATTTTTCTGATTTGCTGTGGAGAACTTGGTAGCTCAAGTTCTGCCACCGTGGGCAGACATCACAAAGTACAGCACTTTGTTTAATACGAGGACCTTGTGCAGCACTAGTGTAATGGGCTGCTTAGTGACTTGTAGCTGCCATCGCGGGAGGAGTCTGAGCGGGAGCAGGTGACCTTGTTACTGTAGAGCGGAAGTTGGACATGCACATTGGCTTCCAGAGTTGTGAACCCTGTGAAACGATGCAAAACCTGTCTGAGGATTTAGCTCAGTGACACAACACTTGCCAAGCACTTGTGAGGGCCCTGCGTGCAATCCTTAGTGTCGCACCCACACCCTCCCACTCATACACTGGAAGAATGATAAGAGAATACTACGAACAACTCCACAACCATCCTTTTGATAACTGAGATAAAATGCACCAATTCTTCAAAACCACAACCGGTGGGGGATATAGCTCAGTGGCACTGTGCCAACCAGGCAAGCGCAAGGTCCTGAGTTCGATCCCCAGTACCAAAAAAAAAAAAAAAGGGAAAGAAAAGAAAGAAAGAAAAACAAAAACCACAACCTACCAAAAATAAATAACTTTTCTTACCCTTATAACTTTTTTTTTTTTTGGTACCGGGGATCGAACTCAGGTCCTTGCGCTTGCACAGCAGGCAGCAAAACCACTGAGCTAAATCCCTGGCCCTTACCCTTATAACTTTTAAGGAAATTGAATTTGTAAGTAAAAATTTATTTTGTTTTGTTTTGTTGAGACAGAGTCTTGCCATGTAGTTCAGGCAGGGCTTGAACTCATATAGCCCAGGTTAGCCTGAAATTTATAATGATTCTCCTCCCCCAGCCTCTTGAGTGCTGGGATTACAAATGTGTACCACCATGCCTGGCTAATTTAAAAATTCTTTTTTTTTTTTTTCTCCTGGTACCAGGAATCGAACTCCTGATTGCCAGGCAGCTTGGCCGGGGAAGTGCAGTGCCACTGAGCTACATTCCTGGCCCTGTTTATTTATTTATTTTTGGTACTGAGATCAAACTCAGGACCTTGGGCTCGTAAGGCAGCCACAGCTCCACTGAGCTAAAGCCTCAGCCCATCCTCTAAAAGTCTTGAAAGAATTAAAAAAGAAATGTCCAGGCCCAAATGGTTTCATTGGAGAATTCTCTCAGATGTTTAAAAATAATTGAAATAAGTTCTACAAAATCTTTTCCAGGAAATAGAAGAACACTTTCCAATTGACTATGAAGCTAGTATTATCCTGATAGCAAAACCGGACAAAGACAGTACAAAAAAATTACAGGTCAATATCCTCCATGAGTACAGACACAAAGCTTCTTAAAATATTATCAGAGGGAAACCAGAAACATGTAAAAGAGTTACAAACTTGTCCCAGGTTTGTAAGCCTGGTTTAGTATTTGAAAATCAGTCAGCATACAGGCTGGAGAAGGAAATTTGTATGGTTTTATCAGTCAATGCAGAAAAACACTTGACAAAATTTAGCACCCATGACTATAAAAAAGTCAAAAACCCTAAAGATGGGAAGAGAGGGAAACTTTCTCAACTTGATAAAGAACATCCACAGCAAACCTGCAGCTGACACACTCGGTAGAAGGCTAAATGGTTTTCCCTTCACACTGGGAACGCAGTAAGGATGGCGGCTCTTGCCCTTCGATTCCATTCAGTGCTGGATTGTAGATACTGCAGCAAAGGAAGAAAAGGAAACAAAAGCCACACAGAGTGGAAGGAGCCAAACCGTCTATATTTGCAGATGACACTATTGTTTATGCAGGAAATCTTAAGGCATCTACAAAAGATTAAAAAGTGTAAATTATTACAGTAATATGAGTATAGCAGTATCAAGAATACAACATAAACATATAAAAAGCAATTGCATGTGTACATACTTGGAAAGAACATACAGATGCTAATATTAAAATATGATAGCATTTATAGTCACTCAGAAGCAGGTGAGCAATAGCAGGTACTGTTTGTGCTGTTAATTTTGTTGCCTCGCCTGGTTTAAGAGGCTCCTGCAGAGCTAACCGGATTGGGAGGGCTCTGTTCACAGTTGAATGAGCAATTGGGAGTGGGGCCTAGGAGCCAGGTGTGGTGGCGCACGCCTGTGATCCCAGCTCTCAGTAGGCTGACGCAGGAGGATCGCCATGAGTTCGAGGCCAGCCTGGGTTATGTAGCGAGACCTTGTCTCAAAAACAAACAGGAGGGCCGGGGATTTAGCTCCATGGTTCTGGCGCCTGCCTTGCAAGCACAAGGTCCCAAGTTCGATCCCCGTACCAAAAACAAACAAACAAAGAAAACAAACAGGAGTGGAGTCTTGTCGGGGGAAGTGGGTTGAGCAGGTGTGACCCTGGGGACCGTGTCAGGCCCCTGGCCACTCTCTCTCCAGCTCCCCCTGCTCTGCTTCCCTGATCCATGACCGGGCAGCTCTGCTTTTCCAGGCCCTCCTGCCACGCTGCTTCTGCCCTGGAGCTGCCCACACCATGGGCAGAAGTCTCTGACACTGTGGGCCAAAAGAAACCCTTCCTCTTCTAAATTGTTTTGCTCAGGTATTTGGTTCCAGTGAGAGGAAGGTGAGTAATACACTATTGTTGAAAAAAAGAGGAATACTGAGGTATAAATCTAACAGAACATGTCCAAACTGCTGATCAAAGAATTTAAAACTATATACATAAATATGCAAAGTTTTGTAGTTTGGAAGATTCAACATAGTAAAGATGTCAGTTCTTCCCCAGTGAAATAGAGGCTTAAGCAGTTCTTACCAAAATCTTGGCAAGTGTTTTTATACTAGATCAATCTAAAGTTTATGTAGAAAGGCAAACCAAATAGTAAACACTTTGGAACAGACGAACATGACATGAGAATCAGTATACCTAACTTCAGGACTTGTGATACAGCTGCAGCAGTCAAGAGTGCTATTGCAGAGGGCAACAGGTCATCGGAACAGATTATAGAACCGTACATTAACTCACAAAAGGACGCCATGCTGATGTTCAGCAAAGCTGAGAAAGTGACCCTGAGTGAAATAAAACTGACACAGAAAGACAAATACTGCATGACCTCACGTACATGTAGGATCTAAAAATGCTGAGTACATAGAAATGGAGAGAACTGTGATTTCCAGGCAAGCAGGGGAAGGCAATGGAAATGTAAGGCAAAGGGTACAAACCGGCAGATTAATAGGACGAGTAAGTCTAGAGCTCTAATGTACACAAGACTTCAGCTAACTGTGTTGTACACAGAAAGTGTGCCAAGACTGAAGGTTTTAGGTGCTTTTAATACCATATTGTTGTGCCCAGATTGCGAAGTCCCAAAGACCACCAGGAAGCTGTTCCTGATGCAAGCACAAGAGGGTCGTTTATTCAAGCTCAAGCAGGGGCTCTCAACCATCACCGACGCAGCGGATCAGAATTGAGAGCCCCAAATTTCAAATTAGCGGGGTTTTTATAGAGGTTACAGCAAGGTTTGGAGATTTTCCATTTAGCAGTTACATGATTGGTTAGCATTTAGCGAGCATGAAGTGTACATTTCTGATTGGCTAGGCTCATCAGGGGTGGAGGGGGTGGGGGGCGGTTACATGTAGGTTTTACGAGGGAAATGAGGGGCAAAGGTTGGTGGTCGACTGTCAGCAGACACACTGACTATTAGTCACGACCCTTACGTACTGACAGTCAGCACATCTACAGATTGTTCTATGGATAGGGGGCCCGGAACGCTCATTTCCTGGGCAAACAGATGGCTGAGTAATTAACTTAGGAACTTTGGTTTGTTACAGAGTGTGTCTTCTGTCCCAGAGCAAACACATTTTAACCATTAATTTGAGAGGCTAGGGGAGTGGTGGATTTTAGCAAAATGGAGTTGCTTTGGTCTCGCAATATGAATAGAACTTGTGGTCTCAGCATTGAGCAATGAAGTTGAAAACCAAAAGGAAGTTAGAGGAGGTTTTATTGGAAATAAGGAGAAAAGGAGCTCCTGATTTCTCCAGGAGGGGAATCTGAGAAGTGGAAATTTGGCATGGCCCCTGGGTGCAACGCTTTCTGTGGATAAGTGGAGCCTGGGAACTGCATGGTTACTTAATGATTCTGGACCACAGGCTGCCCTGGGACTTCAGGAGGACTAACTGGAGCTCAGGCTCCCTAACCCAGTTACTTAGCACATAGGATTTAAAGGAAAGGAGGATTTTAAAATTAAAACTGGTTATTTTGCATGTTAAGTTCCTGGAAACTCAGGACTTAGTACAGAAGGCTGCACCTCCTTTTCTTTATAGGGAGGGATCTGCATTCTGTATTTCCCAAGGAAGTTAAATCTTGGTCCAGAGTCCTAGTTCACTGTCTCTTCTTATTTTAATTTTTACCAACATGGCTGATCACCCACCCTATTTCTGGCCCTTTCCTAGCTAGTTGCTTTACTCATTAGCTAACTAGATCAACTATCTTTTGTGGTCTTACCCCACCTGGAAGGTAATCAGGTGAGACGATGGGGTGCTAGCTAGCTTGATGTACACAGCCTTGTTGGGAGCAATGCTACATAATTCTAGGGGAAAATCCTCTGAGCAGGCCTAGTTCTCCAGCCTACAGACCAGCTACGACATTCCAGACATAAATGCATTTTGGCCTCGGGTCACAACTGAGACCTCAGTGATCCCCGGATGCTGTAATCTCCAGGACAAGACCACACCTGCGGGAGAGGCCAGGGAGGAACCAAATCTTCATCTGCATAGTTCCTCATTGTTCTCAGATTTCCACCCCTCCCAGTCTTTTTACACCTTGTTTATCCCACTGTGAAGTACTGAACTCCGCATTTCACTTGTTACATCTCTTTCTCCCGGTGTACTGAATAAAAGGTGCTGCAAGCTAGGGGGGCTTTCGTCTTTGCCGCCCAGAGCAGCACTGATCAGACCCAAAGCTCAGCTTCTTCTCAGTCTCATTTGTCTACCTTTCCTGTAATTCGCCGTGTGCTGCCGTGGCTCACAGGAGACTAGGACTCACTGCAGAGGTTCTGGCAATGTCCCCTTCCCCCGTTGCTACACAGCCTCACTGCACGTGTCCACACAGAGCACCCCTTAAATATAACAAGTAACAAGTGCCTCAATAGTAAAAGACCGACAATCCAAATAACAAATAGACAAAAGACATGTGTAAGAAATAAAAAGAGAAAGAAAACCTGGCAGCAAGGACAGGCTTTATTTAGATAAAGACCTGAGAGGGGCCCTGGGCTCTGAGGCAGCAACAGCAGCTTCTCTTACAGAGCAGGGCCTATGAGGCACTGAGGGAAGGTGGAAGCCAAGGCTGGCTGTTCTGGGGATTGAGTCTTTGGGTCTGTGGTCACAAGTCTGTTGGGTTTGTGCAAGGTTTCCTATCCAAGAGGCCGGAAGAATGCCTGGTACAGTAAACAGATTTAATGGGCTTCATAATTATAGGGCACAGAAGAATGTGGGTAAGGGTCGCCACTGCTGGGGAAGTGTCCACTGGCTTTTCCTTTCCATGTGTCAGTGGAGAGGACAGGCGGACAGCAGGTGAGTCCACGAAGACGTTCCTGGTTGTCAGGATGAGGTGTCACCGCATACCTCTCAGAATGCCCAAGATGAAAAATAGTGACCATGACAACTGCTGGGGAAGTTTTGAGGACGCTCGAGCACTTGTACGCTACTGGTGGGGATGCAAATGGCACAGTCACTCTGGAAAAAGGTTGGCAGTTTCTTAGAAAAAATAAGCACACCACTACCACAGGCTGCAGTGAAAGGGCATTTCTCTCATGAGAAGAAGGTCTGTGCTCACATAGACACCTGCACCAGCATTTATAGCAGCTCTCTTCATGATGGCCCCTTGGAAGCAACCTGGTTGTCCCTCTGTTAGTGAGCAAACAAGTCATGGTACATCCAGAGAGACAGAAACAAACCACAGAGAGGACAAGTCAGCTGAGGCTCCCACAAATGTCCTGAGCGAGAAAAGCCGGAACTGGAAGTCTCCATACTGCATGACTCCATTTAAATAATGTTCTTGAAATGATGACATTATGGAGAAGGAGAATGAGGACAGGTTGCCCTTGATGAGAGAGGGCGCTGGCTTAGTGGGAAGCGAGGTGGAAATACATATTCTGTCTTCCAACTGTGTCAGCCTCTGTAACATTGTGCTTTCTTTTCATAAGAGGTCACCAGAGGGTCTGCCTGGGTAAGGCAGGTATGGGTCTCTGTATCAGTTCTCACACCCATGTATGAATCTAAAATGTCCTATCCCCTTACTGGGAAGAGATTTGTTATCTAAATTGGGAGCTACAATAACTGTCACCCAATGAGGAACTGCGTCTCTGCGTCTCTGCATTTAGATCCAGGAAGAGATCTCATCGTGATGGTAACAACTGAAAGGGAGGATGAATGGCAGTGTTACAATGTAGATGATGTTTTCCAGGCTCAGCAAGAATTAAAAACTATGTTTCCTGGAGTATCACCCCAAGGCTTGGCTAAGAATCATCCCATAGTTACAGAATTAGAAGACAATTTGGCCCCCATTGCTGTAAAACAATACCTGACATCCAGGCAAGCCCTTATCATGAGATTAAAGGAATTTGGACTTATAAGAGAACGTATGTCACCTTGGAACACCCCTGTGCTGCCTGTTCAGAAACCCAATGGGGACTATAGGCCAGTGCAAGATCTACGGGCTGTAAATGACAGAATAGTAAAGCTGCACCCAGTGGTCCCTGACCGGTATACTCTGTTGGGTCTGATGCCCCCAGAGGCAGCATGGTTTACTTGTTTGGATTTAAAAGATGCTTTCTTTTGCCTTCGCATTGCTCCCCTCAGTCAACTCCATCTTTGCATTTGAATGGGAAGACCCACGTGATGGGAAAAAGACTCAGTTTACTTGGGCTAGATTGCCACAGGGATTTGAAAACTCACCTACGCTTTTTGGGGAAGCCTTAGCCAAGGACTTGCTTACCTTCCCCGTGGAACAATATAGCTGCATCCTATTGCAATATGTAGATGACTTTCTATTATGTAGCCCAACCCAAGAGCAATGCTGGGAAGGCACCAAAAAAGTTGTTGGTGCACTTACAAGAAAACTGGATATAAGGTATCATGGAAGACAGCCCAGATTTGTGGACAGCATGTTAAATATTTAGGATTTCAAATAACACATGACATGCGTTGCCTCGGAAATGAAAGGTTATTAGTGCCATCCCTGAACTTTAAAATTAAAACTGGTTATTTTGCATGTTAAGTTCCTGGAAACTTAGGACATTCTGGCATATACAAGAATTCATGTTTCACTTTATGTCCTCCAATTTCACATGTCCTTTCATAGCAAAACTGGCGCTTCTCTGAAATTCCAGTGGCACTAATCACTTGGATGCGCTCTCCGCTCAGAGGGGCGACTGGAACTGCTACTACTGAATGTTCTGCACCACTGTTTACCATTAAGGACATATTTTGGTCCCCCATCCTTATATCGACCATGGGTTCGTGGGGCCTAGCTGCATTGAGCCTGGCCTGTGTCAGTCACTGTCCTCCATCACAGGCAACAAGGTGCCAGTATCCTTCCTTTCCTTCAAGTCCTGCTTTTTCTTTTCCTTGAGCCTTGGGCACTTATTCTTATAATGTCCTTTCTCTGCAATATGCACACTGGTCAAACTCTAAGTCCTCACGCGGAAAACCTTTCTTCTGTCTTCCTTCTACTTTTGTTCCTTGTCTTTTTCTTCCTTCTCTTCCTTGGGTCCCATAGCTACTGCTATATAAGGAGCTCTCCTCTGATCCCACTCATCTTCCTTCTGGCTCTCTCTTTCTCTTTCACTGTCTCTCTATTCACATACACTTTCCCAGCTAATTGCAACAATTGCATTATATTCATGCCTTCCCAAGTCTCCTGCCTTTGGACTTTTCTTCTAATGTCTGGTGCTGACTGGGTTACAAAAGTTGTGTTAATTAGCTTATGGTTTTCTGGAACTGCCAGGTCAAATGGTGTGTACATTCTGTAGACCTCGCAAAGCTGCTCATAAAATTTCTCAGGGCTCTCATTCGGCTCCTGCTGGGTCTCTGGCACTTTACTCAGATTAGTAGGCCTTTTACTTGCAGCCCGCATTCCTGCTAAAAGGGCTGTCTGATAATTTCTCAAGTTTTCCTGTCCTGCTTGGGTATTGGGATCCCAATCGGGTCGCACATTTACTGGGAATTGCTGTTCATGCCAAGCGTCTGGATTCTGCATCTCACCCGGCATTCTAGTGGCATTAATCTTTTTAATTTCCCCTAAAAGTCTCTGCATTTCTTCAGGGGTTAACAAAGTTCTACAAAGTTTTTTACAGTCCTCCCAATTAGGACGATGGGTAGCAAAGATGGAATCAAATAATTGAAGCATTTTGGAGGGGTCTTGGCAGAGGATAAATGACTTTTTTTTCCTCTGGACCTAGCCTCCTTTTGTCCTTTTTTAAGTCAAATCTCAAATACCACATCTTGGTCTGACATATTTGTGCCTTTTCCTCACAGTTTTTTCTAACTCACTATAAAGGAGGAGGTCACATTGTAACCTGTTGGCTCTTAAACCCTTTGAAGATGACCGATGTGCACATATTAGTAACATACTTAGAATTTAACCCTTTGATGACAACCAATGTAAACATATTTAAACTTTTCATAACAAACTTGAAACCAACAAACAAACATACATATTTTCTTGATAAATAATTTTCGCACATCTTTTTTTTTTTTTTTTTGGTACTGGGGATCGAACTCGGGACCTTGCGCTTGCAAGGCAGGTGCCATAACCACTGATCTAAATCCCCGGCCCTTTCACACATCTTTTGACATACCTAAACCTTCTGGTCTTGTATATTTTTTTTCTTTCTAACAAGACAAACATACAAAATTTCTTATATCGAGATTGCATCTCTTTTACTTATAGCTTTTTAATATTTTTTTACCTCACTTACTATAGACTTTTTGTCACAAACTTGTCTGTAGCTGTTAAAATTTTAAAGTGTCCCTTTTTTGTTCTCAGATTGTTACACTTTAAATTTGGTTGGCTGACAATAGAACCATAGTGACCTTGAGGTTTTTTTAATCAACAAAGTACAGAAAAGAGCAAGTTAACCCTACAATTACAATAGAAGAATTTGCAATGTACAAGAAATATTTTAAGCACACCAATTAAACATCAATTCAAACTGAAACACAGATACATTTATCAATTAGCTAAAATTTGTAACTTGATTTCTCATAAAATTTCTTACTTTCTCTGGCTTGTTTTATGCCCTTCAGAGCTTTCTTAGCTGTTTTCAATCCATTACTTATTTTCTCTTTTCAATTCCTTTATCCAATTTGAGTGCGAGCCCCATTCGATCCTCTCTGAGTCTGACCACAGCACGCACCCTGTGGTGCACCAAAGTTGAGCAATTCTCAGGCTGTTGTCCCCACCCCTCTGCACCTGTGAATTTAGCAACACAAAAGGAGGGGGAAAGTCAAAAATCTCTCTGTTTGGATCTGAAAGGACCGGTTTCTTTCCAGCATCGTCCTCTTTCTGATGGAGGACCAGGATATTGTTTTTTGCTTCCAGTGCGCACATATGAAGCCGAGGAGGCATTCTGTGGCACAATTTGAGCCATGAATGAATATAGGGAGATTGATCTGGATGTTCCCATCCAGGGGTGGTGACTGTTAGCCAGACAGACCAGACGAGACCCTCATCTAGGGATCTCTCAGTTGGCGAAGCTGGGCAAAGCATGGGCCATTCTAACTCATAAAAGGCTCTAAGTTTTTGGGGTTTCATCTCAATACCATAATTTCCAGTAAAACCTTTCTTAAAATTCCTAAGCATGCATTCCAAAACAGTAGGAAGAGATGTCTCTGTCCCCACGATCGGCCAATCAGAGTGTTGGTGTGTGTATGGGTACCCTTGTATGGAGACGCAAGACAAACAAAGGTGGGGGATCACTCTCTCGCCTGCCTGGCTGCAGGCTTCTTGGCCATTGTAAGGTCTGTTCAGGCTTGGGTGGGCTGTCGCCTAAGCTCACCATTGTGCCTTTGTTAAATGCGACCACACAAATTCCGTGACAGACCGACAGACCGCACACAAATCACAAATTCAGTGACTCAGGGAGGACTCCTTAAGCTGCGCAAGTGCCTCCACCCTTTATCTTGTTCCGCAGCTCATTCCACTCCCTCTCCACTCCAGAACTCTTTCACTCATACATTTGTTCAGAAGTTATCACATTCCCTCCCGGTGACCCCCTAACCGTGACCAAAACAAAGAAGCTGCCTCCCCAAATGGCAAAGCACAAGGGGTGATCAGGCCCCTGCACTATGTTTGCCCAAAGTTCACAAAGTGAACCAAAACAAATGGGAGGAGCTATCTCCCCAAATGGCAAAGTACAAGGGGTGATCAGGCCCCTGTGCTGTATTTGCCCAAAGTTGCAGAACACCAAATAAAATAAAAACGAAACCAAAAGTTAACGACTAGGGGGATTTTCTCTGGACTTCTCACCCAGCCAAGGAAGGAGACAGACAAGACACCAACAGCAGCAGTCCTCCTTCTGTCGTCTTCCATTCTCGAGTTCAGGCGATCTGCAACTGGTAAGCGGATCTCTGTGTCCTGTTGGGGAGCCTAGGAAATTAGTCCCAGGGGTGCCTTTCCTCTGGAGGAGACAGAGAGCCTCTCCCTCCAGTGGAGTTTGGGCCAATAGCCAAAAGGGCCACTTCTTTCCCAATTCCCGGTCAGTCAGGGAACCAAATGTTCTGCAATTGTGGAAAGAAATGTACAGAGACACAGAATTTGGGTAAAAAACCAAAGCCTTTACTCGCTAGTGAGGGGGACCGCCCAAAACTCGTCTGATCGATGTCCGCCCCATCCTTTGCTTTAACATTTCCTTTTATATCTTCTTTTAGCCATTACCACATTTCTGGTGGCCTTAGTCAGTACAATTTCTGTTTCTCTTTTACAACTAGTTCCTGTTAATGGTTCGAGTCACAGACATATAACAAACAGATGGCACCTAAAACACATACATTGTAAACTACCCAAACATTTCTACTTTGTTTTTCTTCAAGTTAAATGCTATCTACAGTTAGGTTACCAGTCAAAGGTTCAGTTAGCCATCACCTTAAACAATAAGAGTTATGGGAAAGGTAAATCTTAAAGGAATGGGTTACTTATTCTACTTCAGCTACCTAAATAACTAACCTATAGTTTAAATTTTCTCTATCAGGATTACAATAGACTTCTCAACACAAATTTTAAAGGTTAGGAGAGCTTGAAATGTTTCAATCCCTAAAAAAAAACCTTTCAACTCAGATTAATATATCCTTCAAAAACTATCTTTCAAAATTTATGGAGAAATAAGTATACTCTATGATGAAGATAACCTTAAGAAATTCATAACCGCTAAAAAAATTCTCAAGGATATCCTAGATAAAGACAATGAAGCCAACAATGCCAAAAAGTCTAGTGGAATGAATACATCAAGTAGGATGAGCAGTTAAACAAAAGGGAAAAATAAGTGAGTCAACTACAGAAAAATAATGCAATGACAGGAATAAGTCAATACCTTTTGGTAATAACTTTCAATGTAAATGGCCTCAGCTCCTCAATCACAAGACACAAATTGACACACTGGATCAAAAACCAAAACTCAATGGTTTGCTGCATGCAGGAGACACATCTGACAAAAAAAAAATCATAGACTAAAAAATCAAAGGATTGAAAAAAGATTCCATGCTTCAGGCCGCCAAAACAAATAGCAATCTTATTTTTAGATGAAGTAGACTTCAAGCTAAACCTGGTCAGAAGAGTCAAAGAAGGTCATTACACATTGGTTAAGGGAACAATCCAAAAGGAAGATAAAATAATTCTAAACATGTACGCACTGGATACCTGTACACCCAATTTCATGAAACAAATACTATTGGACATAAAGATCAAATAAACATGAATAAAATCATAATGGGGTACTTTTAGGGTTAGTATTAGGGTTACACTCCATTTTCACAAATAGAGCAACTAGACAAAAAAGTCAACAAAGAACTATTAGAATGGAACCACACCTTTGAACAAATGGACTTAATAGATATCTACAGAATGTTCTATCATACCGCAATAGAAGACACATTCTTCTTGGAGCATTCTCTCTAAAATAAACCACATGCCAGCCCATAAAGCTTGCTTAAATAAATGCAAAAGAATAAAAATTATCCCATGTATATTATCAGGTCACAGTGCACTGAAACTAGAAATCAGTGACAAAAAAAAATCACAGAAATTTTGCAAATATCTGAACATTACTACACACTCTTGAATAACCAATGAGTCACAGAAGAAATTAAGGAAGAAATTAAATTCCCAGAATCAAACAATAATCCCAATACAACATACCAGAAACAATGGAACACAATAAAGCAGTTCTAAGAAGAAAGTTTATTGCTGTGAATGCTCACATTAGGAAAAAAGGGTAAGCCCAAGTAAATAAGCTAAGAATCAATCTCCAAATCCTAGAAAAACAAGAGTATCTTAAATTCAAAGCTAGTACAAGGAAGGAAATTATAAAGAGCAGAATGGAAATTAAATAAATTGAGGCTAAAAAATACAAAGAATCAGTGAATTGAAAAGCTGGGTCTTTGAAAAAAAGAATAGTCAAAATAGACAAACCCTTAGCCAAATTTAACAAAAGAAGGAAAGAAAAGACCCATGTCAAGGAAATTAGAAATGAGAAAGGCAAAATCATAACAGACATTGCTGAAATCCAGACTATTATTAGGAACTATGAAAACTTGTACTCCGACAAATTGGAAGATCTAGAAGAATGGACAAATTCCTAAACACATATGAAATACCAAATCTGAGCTAAGAAGATATAAAAACCCTAAACTGTCTAATAGGCAATGAAATTGAGGCAGTAATAAAAAAAACTTACTGACTAAGAAAAGCCCAGGACTAGTGGACTCACCACTGAATTCTACAAGAACTTCAGGGGGTGTCTAACACGAATAATCTTCAAACTCTTTAATGAACTTGAAAGGGAAAGATACTTCTAAACTCACTCAAGGAAGCAAGCATTACTGATTCCAAAACCAGAAAAGGACCCAACTTTAAAAAGGAAACTACCAGCCAATCTCTCTAATGAACATAGAGGAATAAAAAAAATCCTCAACAAGATACTGGCACACAGAATACAACAAATCATCAAAAAGATCCTACATCATGACCAAATAGGATTCATTCCAGGGATGCAGGGATGGTTCAACATGCACAAATCAATGCATGTAACACACCACATAAACAGAAGCAAGGACAAAAATCACATGATCATAGCAGTAGATGCAGAAAAAGCCTTTGACAAAGTCCAATATCCATTCATGATAAAAACCCTGAAGAAAATAGGGAATAAGGACTTTGTCTCAATCTGATAAAAGCTATTTATGACAAATCTACTGTCAATATCATATTAAATGGGGAAAAGAAAACTTCCCTTCTAAAATCAGGAACAAGAGGGACTTCTGAGAAGATTGTGGAGTGATGAAAATCAGCCTCTCGGAAATTTGGAGTCCAGATGCTGGTATAGCAATGTGGGGAAGAGAAGAAGGAGGGAAGTGAGTCCTGGGACCCAGCACAGATCTGAAGTGGGAATTGGAGCCCATGGGCAGGGTGAAAAGAGGGAGCTCAACACAAAAGAGGCAGGTGGCAAACAGCCTTCTCTCCCTGAATCCCAGCCCAGCCATGAGAAGCAGCTCAAACTCATAGAGGCATGGTGACTCTGGGTGACTCCAGAGGCTTCCATGGAGAAATGCACCAGTGGAACGGAGCAGTGGATGCTGCAGGCTGCAGTGGCTGGTGAGTAATTCCAATTCAAATGTCCCTGGCAGAGGATGATTGGCCAGTCGCCATTTTGGGAGACGGGCTTTTTTTTTTTTTTGGTACCAGGGATCGAACTCGGGTCCTTGTGCTTGCGAGACAGGCGGTGGAACAACTGAGCTAAATCCCTGGCCCAGTTTATTTTATTTTATTTTATTATTATTATTTTTTTGGTACCGGGATCAAACTTGGGACCTTGTGCTGGAACCACTGAGCTAAATCCCCAGCCCTCAGTCACCATTTTGGAAAGAGGCCAGCTGAACCTGGCACTCAGAGCAGCAGTGAGTTGGCTGCATCTCAGGGATCCCAATGTCAGGGTGAGGTGCAGCCATGGGAGACACCCAGGGTCAGAATCCCAGTTCAAGCTGGCAAGAGGAACCTGGACTATTTTTGGCTGAACAATTTGGGTCCCAGCCTCCCAGCCAGAAACCAGAATCAGCCTGAACTTCAATGGAGTAGAAAACACAGGCTTGCTGGGATTATCCACCACCCCACAGTAATTCTATTGCAGGGTTGCTGGGATCAACCAACATGTATCTGGGCTCCGTCTGCCCCCTTTGTCTACTAGTGTCTACCAATGTCTACCAGAGACATGCCCTAAAGTGGACATTTTTTTCTTCCTTTCTTTGCTTTCTCCCCTTTTTCTTGATTGTTCGTTTTTATTTTTTGTTTTGTTTTTATTTTTATATGAGTGTGAACCTTATTTCTAGTTTTTTTTGTTTTTCTCTGTTATTATTTCTGTTTCTTCCTTCTTCCTTTTGCTCCTGCCTCACCAATTTCCCAAAGCTTGTATAATCTTTCTTTGCCTTCAGCCTTGCTTCTAATCTCTCTATTCTTCTATTCTTCTATTTTTTCCTCTTACCCCTCTTAAGCTTTCTCCCCTGAGGCTAAAGCCACTCTATTGAGGCCTTATTTACTATATATAATTTTCTGGTTTATTTTAGATTTTGTCATATAACTACAAATCTTGTTCCCATGGTTAAAGGTGGAAAATTAATAGTTTGTCATTTTCTAGGCTGTGCTTGATGCTATTGTTATTACTGATTGTACTACTTTAGCCAAGGTGACATAATTGTTACAATCAGTTGTTCTTCCTTATATACCAAGATCAAGATTGCCTGAGGGTCATAAACAATACTATAGCCTAACACCAAAGAACCAATGGCTAGGCCAAATAGGCAGCAACTTCTTATTCCCAATAGATTTAAGAGGTAGGATCTTGCAACAGACTCAAAAGCCAAAAGGCAAGCTGGGCATGGTGGTGCATGCCTGTAATCCCAGCACTCGGGAGGCTGAGGCAGAGGAGGATTGCCTTGAGTTGGAGGCCAGCCTGGGCTACATAGTGAGTTCAAGGCCAGCCTGAACTACAAAGGGAGACCCTGCCTCAAAAAACAAACAAACGAAAAAAAAAGAAAAGGAAAAAAGCTGGAAGCCAGGTACACCTAGATAACATCTCTGAAAAGTAGTCATTTCCTAAGGAGTTCTTGGTACTAATACTAGTAATAAAGCTACTACAAGCAATTTACAAACATCAAAGCAAACACTAACTTTAAAAAAAAGACAATGAGAAGACAAAAAATCAAGACGCAACCCTAGACTTTCAGCTAGCCCAAGGCAAACCCAGGGGCCAGTGAGGTGAAACAACTTGAAAGCCACCCTCCTGACTCTCTGAAATGGTAACCATGGATGTAACAAAGCAGATTAATGAGGCTCTAGAAAAAACCAAATTAGAAATAATTTTTCAGGTAACTAAAGAGATGATGACCATAATGAAGGACATGGTTAGTGAATCTGGAGTAGATATGGATTTAAAAAAAAACCAAAACAAAGCCAGAGGAGCTTAGGAAAATAATGGAAATCATGAATGCCCAACACAGGAAAGAGATGGAATCCATGAAACAGATTCAAACAGATATTCAGGAGATTAAAAACTCTATTGAAAGTATATGCAGCAGAATCAACCAATGTGAGGACAGAATATCAGATCTAGAAGACAGGTTTGTGGTTAGGGATCATTAAAAATAGCAAGGGACCACAAAAAAAATCAATCCAGGGCCAGAGATTTACCTCAGTGGTGCCACGCCTGCCTCATAACTGCAAGGTCCTGAGTTTGATCCTTGGTACCAGAAAAAAAAAAATCAATCCAACAGCTGCTAGGTGATGCAAAGAAGAATAATATAAGATCAACTGGAGTCAATAAAAAATCAGGAGACAGCACAAACAACATAAAAAATCTATTCACAGAAGTAATGGCAGAAAAC